ACCTGTGTTTATAAAAGTCCAGGCTGCTACATAGAAAAATACAAAAATCATAAGTGTTTTGGTTAGCCACCCAGTACTAATAGCTGTATATCACAAGGGACAGCAAGGACTGGAAATGACTGCCAGGTAATGAGGTTAATTTGAATGAATGAGACTACTGTGGCAAATAACGTGATGTAAATGGTCCTGGAAATTAGTAATGAACTATGGATTTTGTTCTGTGACAATGGCTTGATAAGTCAGTCCTAACTAAAGGTTGCAGTTTGATTTTAACAGGAATCACTCGTTCCAGAGTGGTAGGTGATGCAGAACACCATTTGCTGTTATTTGTTTTCCAAATTAAATTATAAAACAGAGAAGTTTAATTTCATGTATCAAACTTCTGCTGTAAGGGTTGTATCACAGGAAAAGCTGACAGATTTATAATTAATGACAGTGAAGCATAACAATAGGATCAGCTAAAGTGAATTAATAGACATTGATTTCTATTTGAAAGAGAAAATTACACTGTAATTTAGAGTACTTCAGAATGGCACTTAAAACATAGAGAATTCTTTGGTCTTGACTCTAACATAGCTATTTCTTTTGAGAGTGAAAAAGAAAAAATCTACTTGGCTGATATCTATTTTAATGAGGCTTGCATTATTTTCTTGTTCAAGCTCTTAAGCTTTCCTGTGTATCTTTTCAGTTCAAAGATGTCTCAGTAATCAAATGTTGCATATGTTTTCCACAAACTAGCTTTGATAAATCAGAATTTTTTAATGAATCCATAAGGTGTTCCTATTCTGCTATACTGCCATCCTGCAAGTCCTCTCTTGAAATTAATGAAATCAAGTGGCATGTCAGCTGCAATGTGATGTATCTGCTTACTGGATGCATGCTGCTGCCATTATACAAGTTACCCTCCAACTAATTTCCAGGTTGTAATGCTCATTCTGTTCCATAAAACTGAACAATGAGGGTCAGGAAATTGTGATAGTAAAGTAGATATTCTGTTTACCAAACTAGCAAAATCAGCAGAGAATATAAAAATATACTTAAAAATACATGCAGTCTTTGTGCAAATTATCATGTCTGCAGTTTAAAAAATGTATTTACAATATGCATAATATTTGTGCAGACACAATCTGCTCTAGATGTTTAGATTAAGTTTGGAGTTGTCCTTGTTTATCTATATGAATAGTTTCATAAACTCTATGCAGTCTTATAGAACAAATTTTCTTCGAGGTATTTACAGAAGATGCTCAGAACTTTTTTAAAAAGTTGCAGTATATTAGAAAAGCACACTTCCTTTTTGTGCAGTGTCACTCTGACTTTGAAAATCACCAAATGAAACAGAATAGTTTTCCCATCTGGAAATGAGACTTCCCATCAAAATCTACTTTATATTGATTAAGGTATTTACCATTATATTTGAGCATCTGTTACGGTTCAATCCATGAAGGAAAAGAAATCCAAGAATAGCACTTTGACAAGACATTTTAAAGGATTTATCATGGTAAATTAGACCATTAGTCTAGCTAATCCAGCATCCTGCCCCTAGCAATGGCTAGGGCTTCATAATACAGCTTCTGATTTGTACCTGCTCAGACACTGAGTGTTATTTCTCAGATTCATGGTGATTTGTCACATGCCTTTTAGAACTATCATGTTGTGTTATGCTCAGATGACAAAGTTATCTTGTCTATTCTTTCAGAGTTTTATTGTTTTTAATTATTTATTCTCTTTCTGTGTCAATCCAAAGGAGAAGCTGCTCACTGTTACATGACAAATGAAACAAGTAGTATCTTGTTATCTGATTATATCAAATTAGTGTTAATATGCAATTTGAGCAATAACTCTCTGCATTAAATCCACCAAAGGAAAGGAAAATGTTTGCTACAGTGTTGATTGAAGATTACAACAGGTGATTCCTATAAGGAGTGCTTGGTGCTAATTGCAGAGTCATGGAACTACCAGCCTGAAGTACTTCATAAAGTCAGGCAGACCAGAGTGACAAAGAGGAGGCTGCCAAAAATGGCAAAAAGAACAAATGCAAGGGAGGGAATTCTGTAAATGTCTCCTTTCTTCAGAAAAAAACCAAACTAACATAATCACTCAGTTTATTACAAGAAAATTTCTATCACATCTTTTGTTTTGGAAGAATTAAATGCATTTTGCAACTGTCTAAAGATGATATGCAGTGCAATTAGCTGGATAAAGTTTTAGCGGTAGAATTTTTAAATGCCTTTCATTATACAAATGGTAAAAAAAAGGGTATAATATACAGGTCATTTACTAGAAATGCTAAAAAATGCACCAAGCCCAGTAATATTCAGCTTTTTATGTGATGTAATAATAAACTGAATGATTAATTACTCCAGTGATATGCTACCCTCATAAAGAAAGATGAGAATTGAGTCCTCACCTGGTTTGAGTTTGGGCTTATTTGGGGGGGTGGGGGAGGTTTAATTTTTTTTCTTTGTTAAGTAATTTTATAATATACAAATTCATAGATAAGTTCAGGATATAAGTAGCAGCACTTCCAATATATACTTGTTTGCTTTTTACTGTTCCTTCTCTTATTCTCAAACCACAATGAAAAGCACGCACACTTTATAATCCAGAATTAGCATGTCCACAGACAAGTGGTCTTGCTACCTATGAATAACTTCTAAGTAATTTAACAAGATAAAATGAAACAGCCAGCCTGGGGCAAGGTCCAGATAAGGTCCTCAACTCCATCACCCCTATTAAGTAAAATGTACTGAAAGCAGTCTTAGGCTAGTGATAGTGGCATTAGTCTCCAACTGTCGAGCTTAAGAAATGCCAGTGTATGCAATGAATATGTATTCCTTACTGCATTTCAATCTGCACCCTCACTGGCAAGGATTAAGGAATACTTAGACCTTGAGAGTCTTCCTATTACAAACTCCATAATATTCTTAAACAATATCTTATTACATACAGATAATACTTAGACGATCAATGTGAAAGAATTGGTTCTGAAGAAAATACGTACAGTAGCCAACAGCAGACTTGCTTCTTTCTGCTTTCCTTCAATAAGTTGTGCTGCATTTTGGAGAAAATAATCTTGAGATTTCTGAAGGGGCAGCTAATAAAGTGTCTTTTCTTCCTTAAGAATAAAGGAGACCGAATGTTTTATGTTTTCTCCCAAAGAAACCGGAGTTTAGCCATTCATTAGAGGTCATTACACCCAGTACCCTAAACAAGTCATTATGGCATGCCTCAATATTTGCAGCCACTGTTCTCTTTACAAAAGGGATAGTGTATAATTCTGTCACATTGATAACAGTCTATAGCACCAGCAATCTGCTCTTCTTTCTGCTGTAGCTTGTTGCTTACCTCTTACAAAGCAATATGACCCTAAAGAGTGGATGTAACCCAACACAAATAATAGCGGTTTGCAGGATAACCACACTGCGTGCCAAAGAGGATGCTGCTTCATTCACTGGACACCGTGGAAAAAGGGGCTTGAGTCTTTCTGCCTGTAAGGCATAACCAGGGTAGAGGACACCTGAGGGCTCTCTGGTAGGAGATGAGGAGTGTGCAGGGTTGCATGCACTTGAGATACCTACTCGATGAGGGAGTGCAGTCCTTCTCGTGTCACATAAATTGTAATGAACCGAGCATTATATCATGCTAACTGCTGCTGATATTTCACTAAACCATGGGAAAAGAAAGGATGCTCAGAAGAAAGAATTTTTCTTTCTGAGACCTTTTGAAACATACAATTTCTGCTAGTCTGTGAAAGGTCAACTACGACTTGCATAATATTTCTAATTTTACTGTTTTGAGCTCAAACTTCAAAACAACTGCAGTGGTTCTACTTTTAGTGAAATATAGACAAAGTTCCAGAAGGATAGCTCACATGCTTTTTGCAGCCTGCAAAGCCTTGATAACCCATAATGACATTTTGTAATTGTAGTGTGCCATTTACCTGAGGTGCTGTATTTCAGTTGAGGTCCTTCATACAGTTGCTAGCATTGTTGCCCATTCTTTCGATTGCATTCTAAGTAGGAACAACCTCTCATGAAAAGCTTTCAGGATCATTGAAGTGAAAACATACTGTTGAAGGAACATGGCATGCAGTCATAGCAATTAGTCAACTTCTGGTCATTCACAATTGTTAAGTGCAAAGTATGCATTTAATATATTGGAAATTTCTTTGGATTCCTTTGGTCTTGTGTAAGTTATATTACTGAGTTTCTCCACTGCGTGCCTTGAACCTCTGTATTAGCATCAGTACTGCTCTTAGATATCTAATGCCTACTTCAAAGTTTCCTGTTTAGATCTAAAATAGAAACAAAAGAGTTAGTACACCAACAGCCTTCACCTCCATGGTTACACTCTTTGTATGGAGGAGCATCATAGCTCCCCTTACACTGTTTCTCCTGAAGGTGAATAGACTCTTGGACAGGATGGATTGTGCTTTTCCAAGATGAAGTGAACGTACAGCTGGATTTGCTGCACAGCCCTCTAATGGAGAAGATAAACAAAGGATTTACTCCCACTCTTTCACTAGTATAATTTTGAAGTGGAGCCTTACCCCCATTTTTGCACATATCAAATAAACTAGACAGGTAGTACTGCAGGCCGCTTGGTGGCCAGTAATTTTCTTGTGTCAGGTCCCTTTATATAGCCCTGTCAGTTCATCTAAATCACCATTTGTATTGAATACATATAATTGAATACTCTTAGACACTTGTATTAGCACTCTTCAATCCTGATCTAAAGTATCCCACTGTTCTTGTTGCAAAGCTCTTAGACAAAAAGGTGCCAAACAGTGTGGCGTTCACTGAATGAGATTGCAGTTCTTGATTTGAATTGAACAGTGTGGAGCCTTAAGAAGGAAAATATCTTGTATTATTCTAGAGCCAGTATCTCTTTCCTAAGACATGTATATAAATGCATCTATATGTGTGCACACAGACACTCATTTACATTACAACTCATTATAGTTCCATGCCACTAATCTGCTTGCCTGTTCTTTCCTGTAGCCCAGATGATTTACTGAATGCACTGAATGAGGGTATCAGCCGTGCTGATGTGATCATTACATCAGGAGGTGTATCTATGGGGGAAAAGGTATGCTAAATTTAAATATGACTTGCTACAGTATATGTAAGAATTTTCAAGGCAGAGTCTGTCGTCAGAGCTACTACCTTTGTATTAATGTTTATTAAAAAAGGATCATACTTTTCTTGGAACACTTATATGTGAGTTAAGAAAATAGTCTTCAATACTATCCTTGCTCCCTTTGTTCATGTTACTGTACTATAGTAGACATAGTACAACAGAGAAGATTTTAATTCTTAATGTGATTTACAAGTGTGTTTTTATTTAAAAGAATTATTTGTGTAGTTTTGATGAGGCAGGTGCTTGGTTAATAGCACATGCAGGCAACAGACTTCTTTTTGTTCTTAAAGTAGGTAAAATGTAGATAGAATTAAGGTACTTTAAAAGTACTTGGAAAAGCAACGTGAGTATATAAAAAGCTCTTTTTTACTGGGCACATCTGTTTCCTAAATATGCCAAAGCTCTATCTCTTACAAAATAGTTTTAGCACATTTTGCACCTGATAGTCCTACAGAGGCAATACATATGAGACCTAGTGAGCTGATGTATTTGCCTTTTGAATCATTAACATAATTGTTGATTGAGTTCCTGTTGGTAATCCCTGTGCCAAAACCATCAAAGAAACTAGAGATACACAGATGCTGATGGGGTGTAGATGAACCTGCAGGACATTTATTAATCATGACTTATGTGAAGGAAATCTCATTCCTTTTTGGTCCCAGGCTGAATCTGTGAGTTTGGCAGGTAAAAGAAACATCTCTCCTTTTATAACTAACAAATACTAAAGACAGTCATTAGGAGATGGCAAACATGAGTTTTTGTCACTTTTTTGAGTAGAAATCATATTGTTGGATACATCGTGAAAATGGGTAATTAGTTAAAACAGTGCCAATCACTTTCAATTACTCCAGTTGTTTTCAGTATTTTTAGAGAAATAACCAAGGGCAAGTGCTGGTCTTTAAACTAGGAATGTAGTGACAAAGTGCAGAGAAAGGAACACTAGGATGTGACTGGACCACTGAATGGTCTTACAGACATTCATGACTTCTGACTGATATCTCCCCAGTCTGAATTTGAGGCAACAGCATAAAGTCAATAGACTCTGTAGTCCACTGATGGTCTGCCGTCTGATACTGAGCTACTCTGATTCTACTGAGTTCTAATCAAATAACTGTGAACATCCAAAAAATAAATAGAAAATAAAAATGGGGTTAATGCAGACAATAACTGAGAATTCATGCCTGGCTGAAATGAGTTGCTGCTTTCCAAGTATTTCAACACACACATCCAAAAAAAAAAGAGAAAGTTGGGAAAACAGATGACTGTTACAGTCTGTGTCTTTAACCTCGCTAAACACAACAGATAGGGTACTACATCTTTAAGAACAGCAATTTTCAATAAAGACTAAACAAGTAATTAATTTTGTTTTAATAACTGGATTGATTGTGTTTACACAAAATCATTTAACTCACATACAAGTCACCCATGGTTTTTACTTTCTAAGGCATGTTAAATACAACCACTGTGAATTACACCATGTCCCCAGAAGATTACAATAATTACAGTTTCCTGGAAAACTATGATTTCTACAGTACAGTACAGCATTGATTTCAAAAGTACTAGGAGATCTCTGAATCTACTGCTAAATAGCTTCCATGGCAAAAGTTAAAAAACTTGATGATTTTAAGTCTTAATTTTGAACCATAAAGGTTTTTTTCCATCTTCGACGTAGAAAATGTTTTAGGTATTTGTGGGGTCCTCTAAGATTCTGATGCTACAGGTGACTTTTGAGTAAATATGTTACTGTGTCCTTGTGGAGTCTGGTTTGGCACCTAAAATGAGTCTGTCCTTTACCTCTACTTTTCTAATACAGTTGCTTTCAAGTACTGGAAATTCCCCACTGGACTGTAGCACTTTGAGGATATGGAAAGTCTTTCATCTTCACTTGATATTAATTAATTGCTTTGAATGCTTAGATGATGTAAAGCCACTTTGATGTTACTTAATTGATTTTTTTTTTTTTTTTCATTTAAACAGGACTATCTTAAACAGGTACTGGATATTGATCTTCACGCACAGATTCACTTTGGCAGAGTTTTTATGAAACCGGGGTAAGAAATCTTTCTGTTTAGGCCGCCTAAATGGAGGCTATATTGGGCCAAACATTCTAATGAAGTGCTTCAGTAGATTTCAGTTTTCCAGATATACTAAAAACCACAGAATAGATAAATATGGAAAAATTAGCAAAATCAGTGCTATTCAGATTAGTTATCATCTTTATGGGTGAAATTAACTGGAACAAAGAGATTACTTTTTATCAGTAAGCGATACTTCTCTGATAACTGTTGCAAATCAGGTTTGGGGATTGGTGTTATACCAGCATGGTATAAACATTGCCATGGTCTACAGTGTGATCACAGAGCTCACACTGACGTTGTTAGGAGATAGCCAGGAAATATAAGGACATTAAACTGCTAGTTTGCCTAAAGAGTATCTTATTTCACTTCAAAATTTGTATAAATTATCTTCCTACAAACAAGCAATTCCTTGAGAGAGGTGGAATGGCAGCTAATTTACAAAGCTTTGTCTAATTGGCATATTGAGCATAGTAATTTTAAAACAAGCACAGTCCTTTATGTGTTTAGTTCGCCTCAGGTAACTGTTTCAGCATTGCTTTCCTTTGCTGTAATACTGCTCATTAATGAGTCTGCTTTATAGAGGAAATGAAAACTACATGTTGAAAATAGAGAGTTTCACAGTGCACTAGTGAAAAAATGTCTGTAGCTCTACCTCACTGGCTTTGGAGTGCAGTTTGTTTGCAAGCTAGGTTGGCATGGTCCAGCAACACAAGACCAAGTACATCTTTGAGAAATTATTCCCTCTAGTCCATATCTGTTGCCAAGGAGAAGAACTGAAAGTGAGTGTTTGCTAAGAAAACAGATAAATACTTTTAGTGCCTTTGCATACAATCCAATAAAGAACTGCATGTGGCCTTGGTGCTTTTGCTGCTACTGCCACAATCACCCTTCCATGAAAGGAATGAGTGAGGTGGAGGCGTGTTTCTTCCCATGGTGGATGTAGCCCAGGCATGGAAATTGCTCACTGATGCTGGCATACTCCTACAATTGGTGTAGCCAAGTCCCTGAATTGGGATATGCACTCCAGCCTCTGCTGCTGACAGGAATGGATAACCCGATTTAGAGAATTCAAAATACTAAATTCTAGTTCTGGCTTATCTGAAAGCGAACAAAATTCTTTCTTCTAGTGATCCCTCTGTAGGCTTGTAGCAATAAACTTTTAATAACTAGCTAAAAAACCTTCAAGAAATCTTTTTTCCCCAAAATGTGCATTTTCATTTATGCCACAAGAAAGATATTTTTTACTGCTACCAAAACATTTGACCATCAGTTCTTAATGTAAGCACTCTCATTTTCATTGGTTGTAGTGCAATAGCAAATACCGTGTCTTGGGTTTTATTAACTGCGTCATAAAAGATCTTAGATATGAGTTGTGATTACCATATTGGGAAAAAATCCCTTGAGTAAGTTCCAAGAGCAAAGTCAGAATTTGTTGTATGCCTGTATTTTGCTGTGCTACATGAATGTAGAGTAGTGCCTGGGATTTACCATCCCTCCACTTGATCTGAAAGTTGCTGAGCTCATGTAAAGTTCTATCTTGCCTAGCAGCACTGCCAGAAAAAAGTAGTGGAAGACTTTACCAATGATGGTGTTGAAATCTCATATGAGAATTCAGAGTTACTGGTAAATATGAATTAGCCATTAGATGTTTTGTACCTTGGTTTGTGCACTGGTTATAAGAGTTGGCGGTCTGATACCAGAGCACTGGTCTGGTACCCATCATGTTAGGGACATTTTAAAACAGAAACATCAAACTTCCTTTGGTAAAATAGGATATTAATCAGTCTTAGCAGATACAAAACTAGTTGTTAATGACCAAAGTGTGGCAAATCTCCAAATCTCTCTGATCATCAGCTATCATCTGCTGACCAGGTGATAGTGGTTGGCTCAAGATGAAGCCAAGGAACCCAGCCTAATTATTACTCCTGTAAGGTATCATTTCTCATGTTTAAAATGACTTTATTTACACAGGTGTGTAGATTTCTTTTTTCATGATGAGTCGCTTTTCTTTACCAGCCACATTCTCAAGCCAACATTACTGTTCTATTTGTATAACTGTAATAGCCCTCACAATGAGATGCTAAAGATCACTCAGGAGCAGCTCTGAAAGGCAGAGAAAGCTCTTCACTAATAGACCTGAGTCTTAGCTGGCTGCAGCTCTGGCTGTGTATCTGAATTTGTTCATCTGCAGACTAGCTAGCATTTGCTGCTCAGAAATACTGTTCTATTGTCACCACTGCTGTAGAGACTGGAGTAAGAGGAGTCACTAATGTTATAAAAATTTGGAGACCCTTGTATGAAAAAGAAACACAGCTCTGTAATTGCATAATTTCAGTATTACTTCTTTGTTGATTGGCTTCTAGCATGAAGACAATGCTAGAATTAGGTTTTCGATTATTAGTTCATCTCCTTTTAGATGTTTCCTCTCCAGAAGCAAACTCATCTACTTAAAACTTCATAGCTGAATACCAAGAAAAACTAACTGTTCTGTCACCACAAAGAGAGGATTATATCTCCGGTATGGAATAAGCAGCAGGTGCTAGTGAACTGCTGAGAGAGAGATATTCTGTTTTGTTTTCTTTTCCAAATGTTTTAAATAATCTAATAATGTTAAGTCAAAGTCTAAAGCAGATATTAAATAATTTTTCCTTTTCCATAGCTTGCCAACAACTTTTGCAACTTTGGATATTGATGGCGTAAGAAAAATAATCTTTGCGCTCCCAGGTAAGATGTTTTGTGGATTACTTTTGTTGCTGTGCAGAGATGACAGGCATGAAACAGAATAGTGACATCACACAGTACCTGTGCCTGGTGTTGGCATCCCTAAGGAAGGTACCTGTAAGGTTTTCTCAGAAATTTCCAGAAGAAATGGACTTACAGGAATGTACTAAGGAGTTCTCTTTTATTCCTGCCCTCAGAATTTGCTGGTGTACAGGTCTCATTTCTTCCATCTAACAATTTCCTTGGGTTTTCTAATAAGGGTGTTTTTTTCCTATAACTCCCTCCACCTTCACAGTAAATATCCTCTGTGTGTGTGTAAGTCAGTGCATCCACTCTGACTTACTGAAAACAGAGACAAAAATGAGGGAGTGCCAAGGAAGACATCATGGAGTGTTTTTGTTAATCATGCTCCTACTGTGGAACCAAAGGGGGCAGCACAGCTGCACCACTGGCCACTGCATGCCCTGGGAAAGCATCCATTCAGAGTAAACATTTACTTAGGGATCCCTGTCTTCCTAGATCAAGAGCAATTTATTTTAATCGTATCTCTCTGGCTTTCCATGAATTTTGACAAAGAAATACACAAAGAATCATGGTCTTAAAAAGCTGGTGGTTTTCAGAGGTATTTCTAATGCTTTTACCCTCTCTTGCTTTAGTTGCTGTAGTACATTTTCTTACAGGGGAGAGATCAGTGGAGCCCCTGTCTAATCATAGTATTTATTTTAAAACTGTCATCTAGGGAGATCCAGATGTGTAAGACAGTGGTGTTTGACAGGTGATCATACACCTCTGTTGTGAGTCAACAGAAAACATAAATCAGTAGAATTCTCCTCAGAATTTGTATTTGAAGCATTTTTCCACTGTGTTAGGGAATTGAAAGTTATTTTTCCATGTGTCTGGGAACCATTAACCATGAATCATGAACCCATATCTGTGCACAGTAAACCCTGCCCCAGCCCCAGACAAATCTAGGCATAGGACAAAGGCATGGAAGAACAGAGGCAAATGGTGGGGCCTCAGTAACAAGGGGCAATTCTGGTCAGAGCAGGATTTCAGCACACCATCATCCAGAGTGTAGCTTTCAGCAGATGTACTTGCCACATGCCACTGCAGTCTTGAATGAAACATTTCCTGTACATAGCATGAAAAGCCCTGTAAAGTTCTTTAGAGTGAAATTGCTATGAAAACATGAGTTCACTTTCAGCAATTCACAGAGTAAATCAAGAGGGAGTGACCACCAACTTTTCTTTGTTCCACAGGCAACCCTGTGTCAGCTGTCGTCACCTGCAATCTCTTCGTTGTTCCTGCACTGAGGAAAATGCAGGGTATCCTGGATCCTCGGCCCACCATCATCAAAGCCAGGGTAAGAAGCTTGTCCTCTATTTAAACATTCTCTCAAGATGCTGAAGCACAGCTCTTTGGGCTTTGAAAGACTGCCATGTTTGGGGAATCTGAGCCCTAGACCAATTCTGGCAGTTGAAGGAAGCTCACACAAAGATACATTCTCAATCTCTGTTAATTGTGATAATCAGTCCCATAACCTCTGAGAGTTAGATGACCATCTAATGGAGCAAGATATACAGATGCAGAGGCAGACATTTGACAGTCAAGTGGGAAGGACACTTTTCTGTTTAAAAAAACTGTTTGTTGTAACCTGTGGTAAAAAATGCAGAGTAATCCTTGAATACCTAGAGTTGGATAGGTCTGTATTAACAATAGAAAATACAAACTTTAAAGCCTTTCTATTATCTGTATAAGTAACCCACATGACCCTCACCCTAAGCAATGTAAATCCCTCAAACTATTCACTCTTCTAATAAATCATGGATACTGTAATTCTATTTAATCTAGATCTTATTATAATGTATTTTTTTTTCTATTTTTGGTTCAAATAATATACCAAGGAACACATCATCGTTTGGAGTTTTCCTAGTGTTCTTGGCTATGGGCTTTTCTCTTGCTGCTTATCCCATGTCTCTCTTTAGGGCTTCTTCGAGCATCCAGGTTTTTCTTTACCTCACAGCTAAAATATTCCAAAGCAGAGAGCAGTTTGTAGTGACCCTCACTTTTGCATTAATATTCCAATGTGTTCCAATAAATTCCATTGTGAGCTATTTCCTGTATGTTTTCTCATTTCAAAGATTGGCCATTTCCCTTTTGTCAGAGTTAGCAGGATTTTGAATGCGAATAACATTGTTATCTTTAATCCAGGTTATGTAATCCAGAGACCAGAAATGCTCTTTTCAGGAGAAAAACTGTCTGTAAACTCCCAGTAAAGGAACAGTTTTGGAATATTCCACTTAATGCCTCACAAACTTTGATATTATAATATCACGGCTGTATTTGCCTTAAATACTGCAGTCTGTGCCTTCTACAGCTTTTAATTTTGCACTAGATACCATCTGACCTCAAAATGCAAGGTTTTTTTCTAAGGAAAAACAACTGAACAGATTGTTCCACTATCTCAGACGCTGCAATCTGAATGCATGACATGTTCATCCTTTCTTTTTCTCTTCTGCAGTTATCATGTGATGTAAAATTGGACCCCCGCCCAGAATATCATCGGTGTATACTGACTTGGCATCACCAAGAACCACTACCTTGGGCACAGAGTACAGGTTAGTGCCTCGTCACACAGACTAACAGACACTCACACAGGTCCTTGCCTTCCTACCCACACACCTCAACCCTGGGCACGTGTTTTTTCTTACAACCTTAGTTATGCAGACTGATTTGGTGGCATACTTGTGTACCCATACATGTGTATGAGTACAAAATTCAGTCATGATATGACTTGTGAACCTAATGGTTAAAACTTCCTTTATTTGAAATAAACCTGCCTTTGCACACACACACACACAACTATACATGTATGCTTGCATATGTGCACACATTCCTTTTTATAAACAACCACCATGCTCACTTGCACTCAGGCACATTTGCTTCCTCTTGCTGCTGTCATGTACTAAACAATCACAAGTTGGGACATACGTAGGAGCAATACAAATATCAGAAATGTGATTCTAGCTGAACTGGAAAAGTAGAAGAGATAGCAGAGAGTGTATGTGATCTCTTAAAGTAGACCAAGGCCTTATTAGTCGTTTGGCACCTAGTGATACTTCTGGATACTCAGCTGCAGTTGAGGTAAATACTAGATTTTAATACTTTGTTAGCTGTGTACTTCTAGAAGGCTGACTGACAGTTTCACAAGAGATTCAGGTCCTTAAACAACTAACTGTCTTTTTGGTACATCCAAATTGTTTAACACAAAGCACTATACACGAGTGTCCACAGGGAAAATATTAGTTTTTACTAGATAAAGTTCTTACCATCACGCAGCCTCCAACACATTTCCAGCTATAAGTCATTACTTACATCTACAATGCTGTGTTTGGTTTAACTCTATTTTGTTGTGCATCAGTTCTTTCCCTATACAAAGAGACAGTATGGAATAATTTCTCTGTGAATCTGGAAGTCGAAAAACCAAGAAACTAAAGGGAATGACTTTCTATTGCATTTTTGGTTTTTGTCAGTACAACCAGTATGATACTGTTCATATTTAGGATGTGTTGTGAAGCTCAGTGTCCTAAAGAAACCCATTCTTTTGGGGTGGTATGTCTTACAGATTTTTACACAGCTGACACCCATAACAGGGTCCAACCTTAGGATCCCACTGAAAAACTTAAAATTCCAAGTGAAGGTTTCAAATTCCTCTTTTATTAGTTCTCAGGGTACAGCTTGAGCTGGGTGTCTCTGGAGAGGGACTCCTACACCAGATCACACCCTCCAGTGATACTTGTACCATCCAGCATTCGATCCCAAAGTCCAATCATTTAATTCTGGTTGGCAGCCTTTTGACTCTTATTGGTTTTCTTTGTTGCTAGGTTGGCTTTTTTCTGAAGTAACCTTCTTCATTCTGCTTGTATCTGCCAGTTTCAGCTAGTTCTGTGCTAGCAGCATTGATTCTATTGAAAAGTTAACTCTCTGTCAACTCTTGAGGCCTAAGGCTTCAACTGTTTTAGCTACTAGTGCTAAGCAACTGATGCTAAACAGGAGTATTCTGTAACCCAGTAGAAAAGGACGTGGGGGTGCTGATCAACAGGTGGCTGAACATGATCCAGCAGTGTGCCCAGGTGGCCAAGAAGGCCAGTGACATCCTGGCCTGTATCAGCGACAGTGTGGCCAGCAGGACCAGGGCAGTGATTGTCCCCCTGTACTCAGCACTGGTGAGGCTGCACCTCAAGTGCTGTGTCCAGTTCTGGGCCCCTCGCTGTGAGAAGGACACTGAGGTGCTGGAGCATTTCCAGAGAAGGGCAATGGAGCTGGTGAAGGGTCTGGAGCACAAGTCCTGTGAGAAGCAGCTTCAGGGTTGTTTAGCCTGGAGAAAAGGAGGCTCAGGGGAGCCTATTACTCTCAACAACTGAAAGGAGGTTGTAGCAAGGTGGGGGTTGGTCTCTTCTCCCAGGCAACCAGTAACAGGATAAGAGGAAATGGCCTCAAGTTGCACCAGGAGAGGTTCAGGATGGACATCAGGAAGAATTTCTTCACTAAGTCTTGGAATGGACTGCCCAGGGAAGTGGACTCACCATCCCTGGAGGTATTCAAGAAATGACTGGACGGGGCACTTAGTGCTATGATTTAGTTGAAATGGTGGTGTTCAGTTAACCAGTTAAAGGTGTTCAGTTAAAGGTTGGACTCAGTGATCTTGGAGGTATTTTCCAATCTAGACTATTCTAATCAGAGACAATAAAGTTAATCGAACTTATAACAATATATTAAAAATATTCTAGACTGTAATGATTTTAATGTTTGTACAACTGGATTTAGGTATACAAATAGAAAAATAAAGTAATTTTAATAAGATTGGAAATTCCAAGAGAAAAGCAATTTACTAGGACAAGATACATGTACAGATAATGTGGAAGGCTGGATAGGAAAGCAATCAGCAAAGGGAGTGATAATTTTGAGAGCCATTTCGATGAGAAGCTGACTAATTCTCCACAGAGCTCTCTGTTTCTGTTCACCTTGGAACAGGAAGATCTCAGCTCTATGAATAAGTTAGCCATGTAAATGTCTTCATAATAACAGCTTCTGTGTGTTGTGTGATGTGTTGCAGCATTTGGAAGACTTAACTGAAATTGTTCTCTGTCTCCTGTAGGGAATCAGATGAGCAGTCGTCTGATGAGTATGCGCAGTGCCAATGGACTGTTGATGCTACCTCCAAAGACAGAGCAGTATGTGGAGCTTCACAAGGGGGAGGTGGTGGATGTCATGGTCATTGGAAGGCTATGATGTCACCAGCAAGAGCGAAGCTTTGATGCATGTCCACATATCATTGACTGTATCCTGTAATATGCAACGGCACAGCTAGTTTTTCTGATTTGGATAAAAGTTGATCAGTATAGTCAACATCTTGAAATATATTTCAAATGGAATTTAAATAAATACCTTTTAAAAAAAAAACTTTAAAACAAATCTTAACAAAGAAATTTATTCTGATTATATCAAAGCAACTTTTTCCTTTCCTTGCAATTGCTTTGTGTGTTCAATGCTAGTTCTAATAGCGGTAGCTTTTAGTAGACAGCAGTAGGTGCCTGCAGAACTTGTGTTTTTTCTCATCTTTAAGATACAACTACTTATGCTCTTAAAACAAGGCTGTCTGCTTATTTATACTAGCGTAGACAACACTTGGATTTCCCTTATTAGTATGCTTCATAACCGCTTCACAGAGAGCTTCTGCTTGTTCTTTATCTTGTATCTCGTGTTGATGTGCACAGTGCCAAAAGCAGAGTGGCTGCACTGGGAACCCAATGAAGCCCCGAGGTTTTCTCACCTCGCTGTGCATTCAGGGATCTCTCTTGTCCCAGCAGCCACCCAGCTCAGTACTCTTGGGCAGTAACTGGATACCTTTTATTTCAACAAACAAAAAAATTGCTTCCTTAAGTGCTGACAGCCTTTTTAACCAATACATTTAAAAATGTACAGAACTGAAAACTAAAAAAAATCAAAGACTGATCTTGTACAGATATTAGTGTTACCAGCATTCGTGTGGAAATTAAATGAGCAAAGAAATAAAACTAATGTTAAACAACTCTGTACCATAACATTTTCTGTAATGATATTGAAACTTAAATGAATAAAAAAATCCTCAATCATTATTTAAAATTTCACCTGTTCAGCCTTGTTGTTTGAAACAAAAAAGTAGTGATTTAAGAGGGGTTTTGGTGTGGGGGATGAGGATAGGAAGAAAGAGAAATTTATGTGCAGTCTGGGGCTTTCCTTCATGTACATGATCATGGGTGAACTCAAACTACAGAATGAGCTCTGTCTCACTCACCTCCCAAGGGGCAAAATGGAAACAGTGTTTGGTGGGTGGGATTTACAAGTGGACTAGTCAAAGCTGGAGAATACTTTCTTTTTCCTATCTAAATTGCATAGCAATTGCAAACAGCCCTTGTGCTGCACTGTGTGGAATTTGATAAAGTGTTCTTTTCCTCTTTCTTTTTTCCCCCCATGAGATACAGACTTTTCAGCTCTCACCAGATTATGTATTTTGGTAATTTCACATTTCATCTAGGGTTAAGACCATAGCAGTGCCCTACAACACCTTAATTCATGGAGTTCATGGGTAAAATGCTATCCCATCAGCTCCATTCATGAAGCCAGAACATTTGTCTATAGTATTTTTTGAAGACTTAGGGAGAACACAGAAAACTGGGTTTAAATCCTGACTGCTACAGTGGACCAGAGCTATAGTTCTATTATAACTGCAGAGGGCATCCCTGAGTCTGGTTTTAAAACCAAACTCTTTGTTTGCTGTGGAACAGCCTGAATACTCCCTGCACAGGCCATTGCAAAGGTTGAAGTCAGGTGTGTTTGAATCCAAGGACTGATTGTTCAGGAAAATAGTAAGACAACTTGCTGATCAGACTTCTCTGTTCTGCACTACATGTGCACATTTGTGATCAGTCTGTGTAGCAGCAGGATGATACCAAATTAAATTCACGTGTGCCTGTGTTTACTGTAGCAATGTTGTAAACCACAGAAGAAGGGAGAGGAGAGTTAACTCATCTCTGAGAAATAATGCAGAAGACTGCCTATTATAATCCAAAAGATTATTATTATTATTATATAGTTCAGGGTTATTATAGGCAGCATATATAATGAAAATCTGAAAATTATAAAGGACACCAGTAACAACAACCTGAAGGAAGATTGTTCATGCAATTGGAGATGCTAGAAAAATCTTAGGCCTCGTTTACATTTACAAATGTTGCTGAGAACAGTTGGCACAATGCTATGTGTAAAGGGAAAAAAACCCATGAAAATCATCTGTCATTTTTGCTGACACTTTACAAACATTTCTAATAGACTTTCATCCCAAATAATTTCAAGAACATATTTCCAACCTAATATTTCCTTTCTGAGGTTATTTTGCACATTTCCCAAAATTCAAGGTAAGAAATTCCTCGCTTAAATGCATTATATCTATGATAGTTTCCTTCCTGAAGCTAAGACCAGCTTGTGTTTCCCATGAAAAACCTGAACTCTAGGACTACAGGTTAGACATGGAAAGGCATTTATGCATGTAGTCAAAGAAAACAGACACTTCTAGGAGAGCAGGACAACAACAAGTTACAGCTATTGATGAAGACAAAGGGTTTGCAGTGGGAGAACAGTTGTAGCAGCTGGTGATCATTACAGCAACAATCTGTAGAACAAGGTGTAGTTTCCCATAGCAGTATTTGGTCCATAAATCACAATGAAGTGCCTTAGCCTCAAGATGAAGAATGTGATCTCTATTAGCTGTAATCCCTGTGACTTCCTACTGCCAGCCAGTCTCAAAAGACAAAGCACAGTATTTGCACACTTTCAGCATGATAGTCAGCAGCTGAACTTCTATATTTACTCAGACTGAAAAAATTCACATTCTGTGTTTTCTTTTATGGATTTTTTTTGTGTGTTTGATTGTTGTCTTTTTTCAAACTTGACTGTTGTTTTCTATTAAATCTATCCCAGCCTCCACTCAGAAGGATGAGTCACCATGCCAGATTTAAACTCAGCATTGAAACACAGACAAATCTTGGGTAATTCGTGGGGAGAAAAAGCCTGCACATTTTGCAAATGTTACACCCTCGTGAGCTGCTGCTAGTTGCATGTTTTCTGAAAGGGCTTAGTGACTCATTCAGCATTAGATTAAGACTTGCTCTGTGCACTTGTACCATATTGTACACAAGCTGATAAAGCCCTTGCAATATAAAGCCTTCAAGAGGGGGATGCACAGAGGCTCAGTAGCTCTCTGGTTGTTAGACTGGTCTGGCTCGGATGACTTGCTCCATCCCAGCACTGTTCAGCAACATCCAGACTGCTCTGTCCCTATGCAAGAAATGCATTTCCATGGACCCACTTTAGGTTTAAAAATACAGGCAACTCTTAATTTTTGCAGAGTTAATTCACAAGCAAAACTGAAACCTTACTGTACAATAGCAAATCCACAGATAATCTGAGCATACCAAAGAAAGCAAATCTACTGGCATGATCTTGATAACCAGGGATTCAAAAGTAAAGTAAAGTAATTTCAAGAAAAGTATAAGAGAAAATGGAAGGTAAGTGTGTATATAGATATATGTATATGTGCAAAATCTACCAGATGCATTTGCTTCCTTTAAAAAAAAAAAAAAGATATTGCAACACTTGCATATTACCAGCCACTAGCACAGGAAGATCTGTCCCACCACACTGACAAGGAAGAATGCAAATTGGTTTTTGTTGGTACTTATCATTCTCACACATTTTACTGTGTCCAGGATGGTCTGAAAGGAGGTCATTGCCAAACAGAAATTGGAAGATCAACAGGACAAATGACAGCACATCAAGTATGAAAAGATTTTAAAAAACAACATACCACAATATTACATGTCTGACAAGATCATTTCCTAACTAATCAGTGACTTCATCATTTTGAAGCATTGTGCTGGTTGGACCACTAAGGGGGACCCAGTTTTGCAGTGCTGTGCAGACCAGACACTGGGCCAAGGAGAAGCCAACACAGATGTTTGCAGACATACCTTTCTACACTGGCAGTGGCTGGTACTAAGAGGAGAAGGGTACTACTTAAGAAATTACTGAGAAGGAAACAACATAATGCCAGAAATGTCCCTGCATTGTGTGGCCTGTGCACCTTTAATTTTGAGGGAGTTATTGGGGTTTTTTGTTTGTTTGTGGGGGTTTTGTTTTTTGTTTTGTTTGTTTGTTTTTATTATTATTTATTGTTGTTGTTTCAATTAGCCCTGTGCAAAAAAGTGGATAATAGTTCACAATACTTCTCTCAAGAGAAGTTTAAATGCATGGTAATTATCCCTCTTTCAAATACTACCACAGTGTTTGTGGCAAGAAATCCCACATTTTCACAGTGTGAAGCAGCATCTCCTCTGCTTTATTCTGAATCTGCCACCTCCTAGTTCTGTTTGATGCCTCTCAGCTTTTGCTTTAAAGAGAAGTCACCCTCACTTTGCCACTCACAGTTTTATAGATGGCTGTCATCTGAATTAGAAGTCCTAATCTATGTAGTCTGCCCTTTGTGGTCACAGTCCATATCCAAGGGTCTGTAGATTGGATGATCTCTATAATGGAATCATAGAATCATCAAGGTTGAAAGACACCTTTAAAATCATTAAGTTCAATCATCAACCCAGCACTATTTCTGTAATCCCTAAACCACTTACACCATATCACTCATCCTTGTTGCTCCTCTTGACACGCTCTTCAGTTTTACTAAGTTCTGTCTGAAACAAGGAGATCAGAACTGCATACATATTAAAAGGCATGATTATCTCACATAACCACATAATGATGACTTCTGTATGTTCTCTACTTCCTAATAATTTTTGTTCTTCAGTGCTTGTGACCAGTGTGTTTTTCTGTATCTTAAAACACAGATAACATTTAATTGTCGTGTTTTATTGGTAGTAGTCAACCTGGGAACAGTAATTATAATTACAGTTTAATAAAATATTCTCCTCCTATGAGTCATTTTACTTTTATCTATGTTGAATTTCCTTAGCTGTTTTAACTCACTTCCACTCAATTTTGAATGATCTGTCTGCAGTTCTTGGTCCTGGTAAATGGGTATCTTCCTGTAATTTAGTTGACTTTAGTTCAGTCTGGTAATGGAGATGGCACTGATTACCTCAGCTGAGGATCTGTTCTGTATTGTGTGAAAAGACCTGCTTTGGTGGCTTGACAGCTATGCTGTAATATTAATACTTCACCTTATTATGCCTGATCTTTTCTTGTGATAAATTGCCAGCTGGACTGCTCACAGCTGCTGACTGCCTCTTCAGCTGTGCTCATTTTAGGATGCTGTTGAATTGCTTTGGAGAACTGCCAGATGACTAAGACCATCCTCACACACACATGGAGATGCTTCAGAGAAAAGAATCAGGCTTAATATTTTCCTATGGCTTTCTTGTATTTGGGTGAGGCTGCTGGAACAGGCTTGTTCACAGTGAAGACTGGCAGTCAATCTTTTGGGATGTGGCTCTGCAGACCTCCATGGTTAGGGGCATGTGCTGCACTCAAAGGAATTAGCTCACAGGAACGTGTAGGGGACTCAACTGGAGCCACTGCTGATTACAGCAGGTCAGTTGTAGTATACTTTGCTTTTCTTCAAACACAGCCTGCCAGGACTTTTGGTTTAGAGCTAGGTAGCTATTCATCAATAAAGGTATTGAATTATGTAAATAAAAATGGCCTAAGAGCTATTTATCTGCCAGTCTTTCATGGGGGAGAGGTACACATGCAGAGTCAACGGTATTTGTACCCATCTAAATAAAAGAGTTAGCGGGCACTGTACATCCATGACTGACTTTCTGTAATTTACTCCCTAATGGCCAAATCCAATCAATTTGCCCGATGTGCTATGAAAAGCCAGAGAACAGAGTAGAAGATAGGATTTAATATGCTCTTGGCAGTCTGTGTTGCTAAGGAGTCAGGCTGCAGCCTTCGCCATTAACTGTTTTTTCTAAGAAGTGGTGATGAGGGTTAGATTAAAACAAAAAACAAACAAACCCCACACCAAAAGGCCCCAAATCAATCCTCTGTTAAAGGTGAGATAAAAAGCAGACATACAAAGGATCACAGGGGATGGTGGGTGGGATAGCGTG